CCAATGAGACAAATATGCTGCTAACCCAGAAGACTTGAAGGAAATCAGATATTGCTGATTCTTGAGGACGATAGACCCTAAAACCTGTGGCAAAGACATTCAATATTGAACAATACTTCCATGATAGACAGGAAGCATTTCAGAAATGACAAAATGACATGTTGGAACAGAGGAAATGAACAGCTATAAGGTTGAAGTACAGGCTGCAGCATAGCGCAGCGGTCTGTAGGAACAGTGCTGACTGAACAGAGAATGCATGAAGTAAAAGCAAAAATCTGTGAACAACGCAGAAGCTTTCAATGGAGCATTAAATCAGGCTGAAAAGGGCAATAATATAAAAAACAAGTTGCAGTTCAATTTGAGCATCGCCACTCCTATTGCACAGATTCCATGAAGTGCAGCAAGGAAAAGGAAAAGAACAGGAACTAACATGTTGAAGGGAGAAACTCGTAACCTGGGAAAAATCATGAACACAGATATTTAAAGCAGAAAAGCCACGGATAATTTTAAGAATTAACCAATTGTGGTCAAACATGGATGTTTTATGGAGGTACCATTACAGCTGTTGAAGGCAGGAATTGGAAATCCCCCGTTACTGCCAGCATAACGCAGAAATAATCCACTTAGAGTCACAGAGATGTACAGCATTGAAACAGACCCTTTGGTCCAACTCGCCCATGCTGACCAGATATCTTAAATTAATCTAGTCCCATTTACCAGCAATTACACCATATCCCTCTAAACCCTTCCTTTTATTTAATTTTATTCTAAATTAATGTGAATGGCAGTTATGTACGAGCAACAGTACACACTTTTCACTATATTTTATATTGAATGCACGTGATATTAAAGGATATTCATTTATTCGTTCATGTACCCATCCAGATGCCTTTTAAATGTTGTATTTGTACCAGCCTCCACCACTTCCTCAGGCAGCTCATTCCAAACACACACCACCTTCTGTGTGAAAATATTGCCCCTTAAGTCCCTTTTAAATCTGTCCCCTCTCACCTTACACCTATGCCGTCTAATTTTGGACTCTCCCAACCTGGGGAAAAGACCTTGTCTATTTACACTATCCATGTCCTTCACGATTTTATAAACCTCTGTAAGGTCACCTCCTAGCCTCCGATACTTCAGGGAAAATAGCCCCAGCCTATTCAGCCTCTCCCTATAGCTCAAACCCTCCAACCCTTGCAACATCCCTGTAAATCTTTTCTGAACCCTTTCCAGTTTCACAGCATCATCTTTTTTCATAGCAGGGAGACCAGAATTGCATGCAACATTCCAAAAGTGGCCTAACCAGTGTCCTGTACAGCAGCAACATGACCTCCCAACTCCTATACTCAATACACTGACCGATAAAGGCATGTATACCAAACACCTTCTTCACTATCCTATCTACCTGCAACTCCACTTTCAAGAAACTATAAATCTGCACTCCAATGTCTCTGTTCAGCAACACTTCCCTTGACCTTACCATTAAGTGTACAAGTCCTGCCCTGATTTACCTTTCCAAAATGCAGCATCTCACATTTATCTAAATTAAACTCTGGCCCATCTAATCAAGATCCCATTGTACTCTGATCCCATTGTACTCTGAAGTAACCTTCTTTGCTGTCCACTACACCTCCAATTTTGGTGTCATCTGTAAACTTACTAACCATACCTCCTATGCTCTCATTCAAATCATTTATATAAATGACGAAAAGCAATGGACCCAGCACTGATCCTTGTTGCCACTACTGGTCACAGGCCTCCAGTATGAAAAGTAAGTCTCCCCCACCGCCCTCTGTCTTCTACTTTCGAGCCAGTTCTGTATCGAAACAGCTAGTTCTCCTTGTATTCCATGTGATCTAACCTAGCTAACCAGTCTACAATGAGGAACCTTGTCAAAATGCCTTAATGAAGTCCATATAGATCACATCCACTGCTCTGCCCTCATCAACTCTCTTTGTTACTTCTCCAAAAAAAAAACTGAATTAAGTTTGAGAGACATGATTTCCCATGCACAAAGCCACCCCTAATCAGTCCTTAAGTGTCAAAGAACAGGAAAACCTTCTAGTGCAACACCAAAGCGAGGCAGAACTGCCATTACTGCAAAATAAATATTTTTGTTTTAAGAAAGATGATACAATACCTAATCACATGAGGAAGCCATGGCATCAGGAATAGCATTACCAAGATTTAATTTCAGAGATGGGAGAGAAAGAAAATAAAATTGGACATTCTGGAGTAGAAATTCTTTACTTACAGAATAAATTCGAAACCAAGTACAAAGTCAGAAACTGAATAAATGAAGTGCATACACTCCTGTATACCAGTTGGGAGCATAGCAGAAGATGTATTGCTCGCCAAGGGTGAAAAGCAGCAAGAGGCACATTTGAAAAGATATCGAAAACTTTTGGCAGTTACTTTAACATCATAGCTTTTAAAAATCTTAGAACAAAATGTATCAGAAGGATAGACACCTGAGAAATCCACAGACAATATCTTTAAACGATTTCTACAGTTTTGTGGAGAGACACGACCATGGGGATTTAAGATCAGAATTCAAGAGGAGACTGAATTGTTGTAGATATTACTAATGAGTGAGTCTGTCAGATTTATGGCAGTGCAAAGATTCTAGAGAAAGTCATTCAGATGGTGAGTGAATCAGAGGTTTAGGAGCAACACAGATCAATCCCTGGGGGAAGAGAATCAAAATCGACACAGATCTTTGGAATCCAACAAGTTGGTGAGTGCAGGGGAAATAGGTGAAAGGGATTTGATGTGAATTAAGATATTGGTTTGATTGATCTTAGTTTACAGGGGGTAGAACGGGACAGAACAGCCAGAGGTGAATTGGAATAGTTGGGTTTAGAGATAACAAAGGCATGGATGTGGATTTCAGCAGCAGATAAGCCGAGACAGGACCAAACTTGGACATTGTGAGTACGTTAAGCCTAGAAGTAACCGTGCTCAAACAGGTCACAACAAAGAGCACCAATTGTACAACCTGCATCCAACATGTTTCCTTTTCTAACTTCTTTCCTCCCCTCCAAAAAGAGGGGATCCCAAAATGTTTAATTTCCACACTATGTGAGATGGAGAGGGGGAGAGAAATTCTCCCTCCGAGGATTTAGAGTCTGTGGAATTCTCCTCCCCAGAAATCAGTCATTGAATATTTTTAAGGCTGAGTTGAACAAACTTTTAATAGATAACACTGTCAAGGGTTACAGGGGCAGAGGCTAAAGGAAAGTGATGTTGTAACGACAACCAGATCAGCCATGACTACACTGAATGGTAGGAATGATTAACCTACTCCAGCTTGTAATTGATCTGGTAATGACTTTTCAGGAGGTGGAAATGTTTGGCTTCAGTGGACAGAAGCTCATTTTAGGGTCAAAATTGATACCAAGATTGCCAACAGAAACCAGACGAGGGCACAGATTTAAAAGGGGCAGAAGGACATAGGAAGAGGATGATATCAATTCATCCCCTCAAAAATATCCCATCATTCAAATAGACCACAGCTGATCTTCCTCTCTGCTTTCTCCATCCACCTAACTTCCTCATCTTCATCCCCTGTCCTAATAAAATCCACCAACATCAATGAAGATTGTTCTAGCCTCAGTCGCTTTTGGGAAAAAAAGTGTTAGAAATTTCCACTAAACTGAACAGTCTAGCTCCAGCTGTAAAGGTCTTGTTATGGACTCCATAGATGGTTTCTATTGAAGTTATTCAATCAAATCCTTTAAAAATTGTTTCAAATCCATACAAATAGATCACTGTTTAATATTCGTTCATCAAAGGAATATAAGGTTAATTTACTCAATTTGTCCTTTTAGCATCGAATCATTTTATTGAAATCGGTCTCATCCTCTCCAAGGCCAATATATCCTTCCCGAGATACAGAAATCAGAATTAAATGCAGTACAATAGATCTTTATACAATTATAGCTTAACTTCCAGCTCTTTCCATCCACCCACATTTTGTGTGCCTATCCACAAGGATGTAGAAGAAAGTTGCAGAGAGAGAAATAAAGAGAAAAAAAGACAGAAGTTACACAAAGGGGGAGTTATACAGTAAACACAGATTATAGATAGGATGAGGGGCATAGAGAGAGTGCATGTCAAAGAAATAGATAGGGAGTGGGTAAAAGGAAGAGGCAAGGAAAGGGCAATTGAAAGATCTTTTTGTACATTTTCAACATCCAATGCACAAGAGGAGATTCCTATCAATACAAATAGATCAGGATTTATAAAACTGTCTCACACCCACACAAAGTTAGAAAGGATGTGCTGTGGATATTGTTGGTGCAAATAGAGGTTTGAAGGAGATGGTGAAGTCATTGTTCTTTGTTAGGAATGTAAAATTATCCATTAACATGACCAGCCACCCTCCAAAAACTATCACCTCGTGTGATTCAAGAGTTCAATAAAAACAAAACAGAAAATTAGCAGGCAGAAATAGTGAAGAATTTAACCAAGGGTACAGCCACAAATACATCCGTAATCAGCACTTGGGTCCATTTCAACAATTATCGTAAAACCATTCTTAATTCTACAAATCCATGAAGATGTTTCCTGCATGTTTGGAATATTTCGTTTTGAATGCAGTTAATCTTGTTTCAGGAGAACAATAACCTCAATGTTGATCGGTTCCTGTCTTCTACTGATTCTTAATGTCTATGAGGAGGCGGCGGGGGGGCGAGGAAGGGGAAGTAATTCAATCTGGGGTTAATCCTGTGTGACCTGCGGTTAAGGGCGAATCCCAGCCTCACAGAACTTCAGTCCGCACACAGTTTAAAGAGGTAACTCACCACACATTGTTACAATATCCCACGCTTTTCCCCTCCCGTCCATCCCTGTCAAGGTGGAACTGCATCACAGATGGAGGTAGGCAGCTCTCCCACATTGTAACTATGACTACTGAGACATCATAGCCTTTTCCGCTATCTCGCCTCTTTACAATAAAATAATGGTGTCACGACGCTGCTCGATCTATGTTTACTCACGCCCAGAGCAGGTTCCAGATGTTTGCACTGCTGGCCTCCCGCTCCTGCCAGCTGTTTTTGTCCCAGCGATGACTGGGGCTGGTTAATTTCCTGTACGATGTCCCTGTCAGTTTCAGTTCGGTCCTGCGCACTGCTGGGATGTAAATATTGGCCAGTCTAGGCTTTTGGGGGCGGGTGTTTCTCTCTCTCTCTCACTCACTTAGCACGAAACAGCTGCCTCCTTAATGATATCACAGCTGAGGAATTCGGGGGCAACTGACAAAAAAAAGTTTAATTTGAAACAAAAAGTACTTGCAAAATGCTAAGGGCCAGTGAGTAGTGTTCACCTCAGATGTCATTATAAACGTCTCCCCAGCCGATTCCCAATCTATGTCTGGGTTACCAAAGCAGTTCGTATGGAGCCAGTTCTCTGATGATTCCCATCTCCTGAGACCGACCTATTGATGTATTGGTCATGGTAGAAAGCCATCCTCAGTGTCCAAGCCTTTAGTAAATCGATACAATCCATTAACCAGCTTGTAAAGAGTCACCAAGTGGGACTCATGTCAGATTCCTGATATTGGGGGTAGAATTCCCTGATGTTTCAATAGGCAGGCTTCCAGATTCCCCTGTATTCCTGGTGATTAGATATCTGGCTCAGCCAAGGAGGTCCTGCCGCCCAGTTGTTCCTGGCTATGATCCCAAGAAATCCGGAAAGGAGCGAGGATTCATGGAAATTCGGATTACCCTTCCACCGGGATTGTTGTTTATCAACTTTTATAGTTCCTTTCCCTTTCTTTTGAATATTTCCTAAACACTTTAATAAAAACAATTGGGAACTGGGCAAGTTTTTTTTTGAAAAAGATAGAACTCAATCAGACTCATCCAATCAGGCAGTGGAGAATGTTTCCTTTCTAATTAGCTTCAGGGCGACCAATAATAGGAGTGAGGAAAAATGCCAGGTCAAGTGAGGTCACCTGCCTGAATATGGATCAGAATTGAATGGGTTCTTGTGGCACAGTGGTAGTGTCCTTACCTCTGAGCCAGGAGGTCTGGGTACACATCTCACCTGCTCCAGAGGTGAGTCATAACATTCCTGAACAGGTTGAATAAAAAAAGTCTGGACCAGAATTGCCCTCGCAAGACCACAAATCTTGCCAGCTCAGTGGCTGGTTCTTCAATGTTACAAATGCCTTTCTCTGACTCTTCAATGGGCTTTCATAGAGTGTTGTGATCCAGACTGAAAGCATTAGTCTGAGGACAGGGGGCATCAGTTTGAAGTTTGCGCCATAAATTGTACTGGATGCCAGTCAGTTTGACATTAATGCTGCCAATTAGAAAATCAAAATCCAGGCTAATTGCTCTTGGTTAACATCACATGGCTGAACATGCACCCAGTGGCTAGGAGGACTCAGGTTACATAAAGAGATCATCAACTACTTTTAGTTCATTGGGAATTGATTTGTATTGACTGTTGATATGGAACTGTTTACTGGTTTCCAGAATTCTCTACAGTAACTGAGGTTCACAGGGCAGCTGGTGGACGATGTTCAGTCTGATTGTGGGTTCCCAAACATGGCTGCACTTTTTGGGTATTCTGTTTGGAATATAGCATGGCTTAGAGAAAGAAGTCACACTGAGAAAGACAAGCTGCTGAAAGCGGGAGGAGGATGAGGACATACTCTCAGGGCATTGAGGGAACAGTTCTCCTATTTGAATCTCAGCTAGGAATAATGTGTATGATATCTACACTTAAAGGAAATTCTCATCAAAATTTAATACCTGGTTTAACCTCAGGGTGAGGCAAAGGTGACATAGCTAGTCACACTGAAAGTGAGCATGAACTTTATACGTCAGAATCCTTGCAACATCTTACAGCTGTCATTCACTGATTTATAAGAATGGTCACTGAAGTTCTATCCCAGGAACACAGAATACATTCCATCCCTTCCCGTCAGAGAAAAGCAAACTGACTGAACGTGTAGCTCTGTGGAATTTGCAGATTTCCTCATCGTGCAGGGTATCATCAATTAGATAGACGTCGTTTTGTGGCTGACAAAGATGAACCCTGAGATGTACGGCAATTAAAAGGAATCCCACTTCCTCAACATCCAGTGGGTGCATGATCATAGATGTGAAACATGTAGCATAAAATACCAGCTGCAGTCATGCTGTCTTCATCAGGTAGCAGCCAGTATACCATCTGTATCAGAGACAAACAAAAGTGTAGTACTTGCAACAGAGGCTAACCCTTCTACAATAGAACCGACAGACGTGTGGGCAGTGTGCAGGTGACAAAAGTCAGGCTGCATACAAAATATAAGAGCAGACAATTGGGAGCTTAGACAACACCACCATTGCTTGAAACATTCTGGGGTGACCTGCAAAACCTGACAGAGCATGTATCAAGATATGTGGTCTCCTGCATGCTGTACAAACATGGGGTAATGAGATTGTGATCTGAAAAGAAAGAATGTGCGGGGTCAGCAGGATGAGATGAGAGAATGATAGTAAGGAGGATGCTCATTTGGAGAGCTGGCATGCCACATTCAGCTGAATGGCCTCCCTCTACACTGTAACAATTGTGTGTGTCTGTGAGGGTACTTGTCACCAACTGTACAACAACCAGCTGAGAAGGAAAAAGGGACGAAGTATCCAAAACAGCCCCTTTCTGGCCAGGCCTTAACCCTTGACAGCTGTACCTTTATGATACATTTTGGGTCCTATGGCATAAAATAGTGCAGCGTAGAAGGAGGTCTTTCAGCCAATTGAATCTGTGCTAGTTCTTTCCAAGAGAAATCTCATCAGCCCTACCACCAATATTCCCTCGAAGCTGTGTGGGTGTAAGGTTCTGCACATGCTGATTTCGGATATCCTTGCCACAAAAAGGCCCCAGAGGTCCATGCACCAAAAACAAATTAGAGGGAGTATTGCCTATCCCAATGTATTCTTTCCTCTTTTGTTTTTCTGGTTGATATTAATTTGAATGTGTATCCACCACTGTGTCAGGGACAGCATACATTCCAAATACTAACCGCTGTTTCTGTAAAATTATTTCCTCTTGTTGCCTCTGATTCCTTTGCCAATCAACTTATGAAATTAAATCTGGGCCATCTGATTATCAGTCCTTCAGCTGTTGGAAACAGTTTCTGTTTATTCTGTCTGAATTCTTCATAATTTTATACATACCCATCAAATCCTGAACAGTTTTAAATATGCTCAGCAAAGATTCTTTGATTTTGTACTTTGTCTCTACTTATGACTACCTTCAAAAATGCAAGTTTCAACACAATACAATTTACAACAACTTTGTCAGACAATTGCACACAACTTGGTTCTTCATATCATGTAACCAACTCCACTTCTTTGAACCTAGCCTTATGCCAAAATTTTTGAGGGGTCTTAAGATTTTCTTGAGGGCTATTTATTGGTTTTCAGATTAACTTACTGGACATAATATTTAAATTGACACAAGATAATTAACATAAGTTATCAATAAAAGTTTTTGTTGAAAATAATTAACGAGACGCTTCTTCATAAAAAAAGTCAGTGCCCTTGACTAATGAATTTGCGACTAATGAATTTGCAACTAATGAATTTCTGTTGCATATATTTAAAGCTGGATCATTTTAACCAGGCAGTCGCTACCCTTTTTACCACATCTCAGATCGCAATCTCACATTTAAATTTAACAACTGACACATTGTTCATTATAATAGTATCCATTACAACTTCCCTATGTAATAGGTACTAAACATATGCAGCCTTAAGCTAGATATTCCACATTCATTTGTGAGGAATTCATTACCTTCATTATTCATTCAATTATTTTATTTTTGCCTAATTCTCAGTTGGTTGACAAGTTTAAAACCCTTCTGTCTTCTTTGGAGCCCTCTCTTTCCGCTTCCCACTTGCAACTTCCTTCATCTCCTCCATCTTCCAGCCTCTTTCTTCCCTCTATTTCTATCCCAGTCCCCAGAAGCAAGCAGCACTCCTAGACCCAACAGGCAGCAATTCCTGGAACTGGCTCTCAGAAACACCCAAGGCCTGTATCCAAGAATCTTTGTAAGGGCCAGCTCCTGGCAACAATCCCAAGACCTAGGCCCAGTTGACTGTAATCCCAGCCATACAGTTACTGCAGTTACTTACCAGCCCAACTGTTCCCCTAATCACAGGTTGGTTTATCTCTTCTGTTTGGCTGCTGATAGGCTCATTAGTGAGCCTTTGTGTGCAAAAGGCTTGGACAAGTGTGTGAGAGAGCTAAATGTTTGATTGAAGGAGGCTGGTCCTCACAGACTCTCTCTTGCTTTCTTGCCTGCTGAGTCAACTTTGTCCTGATTAGTCACCAATGGGCAATGCTGCCTCCCTACTTCTCACTCCCCCGCCGAAGGCAACAGTCCAGTGATCAGCAGTGTAACCTCCCTGTTCTCCCCGCTATTCTTCTCCTGGTCCTTGCTGCCATTGGTTCAGCCGACCGTGAATACAATCCCAACTCTCCATCCACTAACTATCCTACTGACCTCTATTACTGACCTCCACAGCATCTGCTCAGCCATAATACAACAATAAAAGCATTACAAATGTATAAATCAGATCTTGCTGTATTGAATCCAAGCATTAACTCGTCACACATTGCCTTATTTTCTGGATTCTTTTCCCAACGCTCCTACACAAAGTGACTGCAGCCTGACTGCTGACTCCTGTTGGGGAGAACTCCAGGCAGCCTCAAAGGATACCCTCATTCAACTCTGGCTCAAGAAGGATGGATTGGCTGAGAGACAACAACCAGGGCTCTGGCAGTGTGGCAGCGACGGGACCATGATTGCTGTCATCCTGAGAGGACAGGAGGCTGTGTTCCATAGGGCCACTGGCACTCCCCTGGGATGGCACCTCTCCCATCCTGGTGACCTGCTGGAGAACAGATTACTGATTGGCTGTGGGAGCCTGCATCCAATCCCATTTTGCTTGCTGATAGGCCCAACTCCTGCTTTTATCACTATTTGATCATTTTCATGCCTATTGAAGACTTTTGGATTCACATTTTTCTTAGCTGCCAGTCTCTTCTGATACTCTGTCTTTGCTTCACTCATTTGTTCTTTCTTTAATTTGCCTCTAAATCTCTTCTATTCACCTTAGTTTTTAATCAATGTAGACTGCTGTACTAAGTTCGTACAGACTCTTCCATGGTCCTTGACTTGGCAAAGTGTACTAAGTACTTCATTTTGCACACTTATCTGTGTTCCTCCATAGCCAGACCCATCAGAGTCCTCATTTGGGATCTGTGCAGCAGAACCCAGATATGACCCTGCCTTCTATGGAGCTGGGAATTATGCTGTCCCAGGCCCCTGCCCTGGACACTTACACTCACTGATTCACCACAGAAATCCTGCCTCTAGACTATCTTATAAAGTGCCTGCAGTGTCGTCCTGCTCTTCTACCACTGCCTGACTAGGTGGCACTGTTTACAGATCTAGGGAGAAAGGGTGGGGTCATGGTGAGGGCAGTGGGGGGGTCATACCATGTAGTTTATGAATCAGGAGAGATTTTAGAATGAGGCGGAAGTGAAACATGAGAAAAAAAAAATACAGGGGGAGAATTTTACTGGAACCCAGGAGGTGGCATCCTGGCTGGTAAAATTACAGACAGGTAGTCAAATTGACTCCCCACCAAGATCCCACCACTGGGGCATTTTACCGGGGCAGGGGCAGTAT